GCGGGGGAGGGGGGGGTGTAATGGTCAAAATGTTTACTTTTTCAGTTCCACGAATGCAGGGCTATAGCAAAAAACCCCTATTGCAACAAACACCATTTCACTAATAAATTTTTTAGCAGTAGGACAACCAGCACAGAAACACAGCACAACTTGCGTGCAATGAAAGAGCAAGCAACAGGATCTGCAGTAGATGCGATTGGGTAACATTTGTTCTCTAGACAATGGTAAGTAGTCATAAAATATTCAAAGAAAATTCTTGTCCTTTTAACTGTCGCAAACAGAGAGGCACAGCAGAAGCTCAGTCAGTGGCTAACCAGTAAAACGCTTGACTTGACTTGTATATCAGATGATAAACATATTCAAGTGATCATTAATCCTGACTACTATTGCAATAATTAAATGCTTTAAAACACAGTTTTCAGGTGGTTTTCTAAGAGTTGAAGCAGTTGACTAAATGTGAATGTTTGTAACCAAGATGAAGCAGCTTTTTTTAAAGTTTGTAATGATTGGTTGAAGTCCCTCTTTGCCTCTACTCTTAAGGTGCCCATACACCTTACAATTATCTGCAGATTTCTGTGGTCAGATGGAAAAAGTGCAACAGATTGGCCCAGGTGGAGATTACTCCATCCACACAGTTAAGTGTAGATGGAGGAATCTGTTGCACCTTTTCCATCTGACCACAGAAAATCTGCAGATAATCTATAGGTGTATGGCGAGCTTTAGATCCTCAGGGATGCACAATTCCTATCACCTGACTACATTACCGGGGTGGGGGTTTAAAATGCACCTCTTTCCCCCCAGGTCTCAGTGCCAGATGGTGTGTGGGGTTCCCTGGGCAGGGTAAGAGATCTCCCGGCTTTAGACACCCAGAATCTACCCGGACTTCAATGTGCAGTTGACTGTGGCTACGGGGGGCTGGAGGGGCTATGGTTAGTCTCTTTATTGGGGATCACATGCACCACTCGGGGTATCATTCAATGCAGACATGTGACTGGCACAGGTTCGCTAGGAACTACTTTCACTCTGCAAAGATAAATGGCACGGTGAGCTGAGCATAGGAAATAACAGGGTGTATGAGAATGGGGGGATCCTCATGGCACCATGCCTCATTCATGAGACTTTTTATGGGATAGCCATAGAGCAGACAATGGCACATGGGCAAGCGCTGCATGGGGTGCCAATGGACAGGGACGGCACTAGCGCAAGGCTGCATAGGTGGATGCCTGTGGGCGTTCATATTTTTTAATTTGCATTGCGGTGCATTAACTTACATGCCTTGTGTTACAGCAGCCCAAACAAATGAGCAAAACAAGACATACAACATTTTACCTGATGCAGCACAACACGACACCTGTAATGTGCCTTAGGCCCCTTTCACACAGGTGGTCTGATAGGGTCCGCCTGTCAATTTTTTAGGTGGGCCTGATGGGATGCCCAATGCTAGACTATGGGCAGTTGTGTGTAAATGGACAGGCATGCGTTTACACCTGGATACCTCAGACTGCAGTCCAGGTCTGGAAAAACGGATTGTTTGGGCGAATTGGGGATAATCTGATGTAAACTGACACATCTGATTGCCCATAGACCGACATAGGGTTCGGTCATTTCAGTTTTTTCCTCCGTCTCAAGATGAAGGAAGAAAACTGGATGGACACGGATGTCAAAGCTAGCTCGGAATGATGGCTGCTTTACAACACACACCATGGGGAACAAAAGTAGCCACCCTCCAGAAGGAAGGACAATGTCAGTATGAATTCAGATGATTTGAGAATCTACATCTGAATGCTGGTGACGTACACTGTACGTCGTCAGTCACGAAGGGGTTAAGTTAAGGTACTTGAAAGCATTTTTAAGATTTAACCTCTGAGTTTAGGGTCACTTTAAATAGGGCCTAGATGATGCTGGTTGTCCTCCAACCAGGATAGGAGGTGGGCTCGGACTTGCTACAACTTCTAATGCACACTGTAAAAGGAGACTTTGCAATTGGGCACGACTGAAAGCAAAGCTGGAGTTAAGCTCCATTATAACTATGGGATAATTATAATACAAATATGGCATTCTAAACTTTGTATACAATTATTTGTTCTAAAATAAAAAAGGAAAAAGTTTTATTTTTAACAGCAATGCAGTTAAAATGGAAAGGTAGCCTATTAAAAAATATGCTAATATTAGGAAAGCCTTATGCTCGATGATTTATATGACGCAATCCATGTATTTGTATTATTCCTTTATTACAAAGAAAGCAGCATAACAGTGTAAGAAACATTCCACTACTGACTTATCAGTCACACCTTTATTTAGAAACATTTTCCCTATACAGAAAAGTAAAACTTACCCTTACTTTGTGTAGGGCAGTGTCTTTGGAAAGATAAACATCTGCTGCGCCCCCCCAACCCCCCTTTTGTTTTCCATTTTAGAAACAAACAATTAAACATGAAAAAAGGCAAAATGTAAATTGCAAAAAGAAAACAATAACCACCTTTATTAATAGAGAGGTACTCACCACAGACTACCTCAAACAACTCCCCTATTGCTAATTCTTCCAGTGATGTTTCCTGATTCTGCTGATGGATAAATGCAGCTTGAATAGAATCAGTTATAGGACTTTCTCCATAGAAATGATGAAAGACTTTCTTTCAGACAGTAGGAGTCCAAGCTTAACCTGCCCATGAGAAATTCCTCTTAAGGGCCTGTTCACACGACGTCCGTTTTGCTTGCTGACCGGATCTGTACGGTGCTGCCCTCAAGATGCACCCCAATGTATCCCTATGTGTTTTATGGGCTACAGTTCTCACGTGCGCAGTCCGTTCAGGTTACGACAGAAAAATACTGCATGTCACATTTTGTACGGTCAGGAAAGGCAAACGTGTCCAAAACGCATCAAAAACGCACTGCAGCTAACATACTAACAGCCCCACTCCAGCAACAAAAATTTTTTATTTTTTTTTTAACTGGAACGCATCAAAAACGCAACCAAAACGCACTGCATCAGTCTGCAGATCCGCACCTGATCAGGACCTGATCTCATGTGAACAGGCCCTCAGGGCCCATTCACACCAGATTCAGATTACCTCCAGACCAGACCAGATTGTTTCCGTACCCAAAAAGCATCCCAATGCTATTTCTGGCCTCTGTTCTCATCAGCGCAGTCCGTTCCAGACCAGACAATAAAAATACTGCTTGTCCTATTTTGTCTGGTCTGGAATGCACAGGAACGCATCAAAAAAGCATGGAACACACCTGTAAGACCATTTTAAGCTAAAAAAAATAAATTCCAATAGCGTATAAAACTCAATGTACAATGTTCCAGATCTGGTCTGGAAAATGGTGTGAAACCAGCCTTAAAGTAATATTCAAGTCAAATGCTTTTAGGCTATTTTAAATGCTGATTAAATCACTTCCAATGGAAGTTTTAAGTTTCCTGCAGAATCAGCTGGTCCCGCGAAGCATTGGCCCTGATATCCTGTTTTAGGGTTGCTCCTTTCCCTTGCAGAGTCATATGGGGCCCCTTTTGTGTGAGCTGTAAGCACAAAAACAGCAAGGCAATTCACTGCCCTGCTCCAAGGTACTGAATGGACAGTTGCTGGAGCTAGCTGTTTGGAAACATGATGATTGTAAGTACTTGGCAAGAAACAAAAAAAATACTTTGCTGGGCAATGTATATTTGGTTGATCTGGATTCATTATTGAAAAATGTTTGGGAGTTTATTACTACTTTAAGGTATAACAAGTCATTTAACCATAGGGGTTCAATTTTGCCCCTACATTTGGCTAAGCCCCTCAGTTATTCAGTAATAAGGCAATAAAACAGTTGATGGTTAAAGTGACATTAAAGTTAAAAAAAAAATTCCCTCCCCCAATGTTAGTCAGTACTTACCTTAAATGATGTATCTTAATCCAATCTTCCTCTTCTTTCCTGAT